TATCTTTTGTTATAAGAAGCTGGTGTCGGGTTTTTGTTGCAGTGACAAGAAGCTCTGTAACTGCTGAGTGTTTTAAGAGTTTGTGAAGAACATATGAAAGTAATGTCCCTGAAGATGTGACTCTACCTTTGACAGCTAAGTACTTAAATTAATTTTTCACTTTTTAAAGTTTCAAACAGTTCTGTCTATAAAGCTCTATGATAAATATAATCACAGGCATTGAACAAGGTAAAAAGTAGACATTCGTAAGAATTAAATGAAGACACCTGTATTTATAAAATTTAAAATAGCAATAGTATGTCCTCCAAGTATATACTCTATTTAAAAAAAAATCTTTAAATAAATTTAAAAGGCAATGAGAAAAACAGCTAAAATGTTTTCAGTCCTTACTATATATCAGTGTTAAATTCTTTACAAATTTCCTTAATCTTTACAACAACCCTATTCAGAAAGTATCATTCTCCTTGTTTTATTGATGGAAAAAAAACAGAGTTAAAGAACTGTACCCAGAATATAGAAAGAACTCCTATAATTGTTTTTAAAGTGTTAATACAACCCGAATAGAAAAATGGATGAGACACACTTCCTAAGATATGCAGAAAGACCAATAAGTATGTGATATGATAAGCAACCCGTCATAAAGCAAAGGCAAATTAAAATCACACAGACACCTCTACATACCCATCAGAACTAAAATTTAATAACAAGGACTAGTACACAGAATTCCAGGTAAAAAATTTACCATGATCTAAAGGAAGACTACCAAAGTTAGGGCAGGTGTTCATATAAATAAATACTGAGTAGTTCCACTTTGCCTGGTAACAAAGAAGTGAATGAAAAAAAAAAGTTTGGAGAGGTAGTTAGAAAAAATACTGGAAAGCCTACCAGGCTAATATAAGGACTTGGAATTTGGAAACACACTGTTAGACAATTTCATCATTTTGTGGACAGCACAGAGCACACTCACACAAACTGAGGTGACACCACCTGTTGCTCCTAGGTGACAAACTTGGGCAGCTTGTCACTGCACCAAATGCTATAGGCAACTGTAACACAATGGTATTTGTGTGTTGAAACATCTAAACACAAAAAAGATACTATAAAATACTAGGCAATGGGAACTTTACAGTTCTTTTAAAATCAGGACTACATTCTTAAGTGAGATCTGTCATTATGCAAACCATTGACTCCTTGGATATTAGGTTAAGCAAAGCAGAAACATGACATGGATGACATAATTTTAATTGACTTTTAAGGTAAAGAAAAGGCTAATTTTTACAGACTATTCCAAAGGAAGACAAATATATTTTCAAAAACTTCCTCTTCTCCCTTGCAATAAATTTCCCTATCCTCTACATTCTAATTTTATCCTAGTGCTCAATTATTCCAAAATCTCCATCGAGACTCTTCAGCCTAATAAGACTGTCTATACACACTGCCAGCACATGAACACCATCATGTCCAGAGGCAGCTCTGAGCTCTCTCAAGGATGGCCTGTCATCTGCAACGCTCTTGAGTCCCCTGTGCTGCTCTCAAATTAAACCCAGTGCTCTTTTGAAGGTCCAGTTGATACTTCCTCAAACCACGATTTGTTTGCTAACTCTGCCCTGTTCTAGCTTCTCTCAAGACACTGTGGTTCCTTTGGGGGCTCTACAATACATAATGCATCTAATTGGAACCCATCTTGTTTTGTTCCTGACTGTCCAATGAGACCATGTACTCCTGGATAAAAGGCATCATACTTTCCATTTTTTGTACAGTTCACAGCACCCACTGCCAAGGATGTGTATGTTAGGTTAAAGCTCTTGATACTAGAAATCCAAATATACCCCTTCACCCAGCAATTCCATTTTTAGAACTTTATCCTACTTATATAACTCACATAAACACTATCAAATGTTACTGAATGTAAGAATAAAAACTTAGAAATAAAATAAATGTCTATTAAGAAAGACTAGTCTATGTTGCCCATTAAAAGAAAACACAAAAGTTGAGATATCTGCCTGTGGTCCACAAGTACTCAGTGAAGAGTTGCAGAAAAGTTACAAATTGGATCTTATTTTTAAATTTTAATTATACATACATACATACACATAATTTAGAACAACACTAAGGGGGTTTTAGTTTTGCTGGTGGGTTTTGTTGTTACTGTTGATTTGTTTTGTGTTTTGATTTTTCTTCTTGCTAGGAATTGAACCCAGGGCCTCACGTATGCTAGGCACATACTGTACCACTGAAGTACAGCCTCAGCCATCACATGAATTTTAGGATGATAATCTCTAATAAGTACAATGGGCTTTTTACTTTAGAAACGCTATTTTGTTTGGGGAAAAAAAGGCACACAGAACATCTGAGGTAAAAAATATTTACATATTTTGACGAATGCCCCAATAGTCATTTACAAAACAATAATATAAACTATAATATAATTGTTTGAAATATGTAATGATTTTTTTTTGGTATCAGGGATTGAACTCAGGACCTCCTGTTTGTGAGGCAGGCATGGCACCACTGAGCTAAATCCTGGCCCAAGTAATGATTTTTTTTTTTTTTTGGAAAGAATATAGGATACATTCAGTCTAGCTTATACAATTGTTTAAAAACGGGTAAACACTTTTTTTAGTTACAAAAGAACAAAGAAGCTTTAAAAAGTATGTGTCATCTTTCTCTAAGATTGTGATCAACCCAAAAAATCAGTACTAGCAACTTCTTAAAACTGTGGAGAACCAGTTTTATTAATGGATTGCCCACTATACTAAATCTAAGCAGGTAGTAGAAATAAATTATGCCAACAAATTAAATTCACAGAATTTATAAATACAAAAACCACTTCTCTTCCAGAAGATTTAAATGTCTGCTTGATGAAGAGAATTCCTCTACCGAAAAAGTGAAACTCAAATATTTACGGAATTACTATAAAGGGCCAGGAATTGCATTACTCCCTCATAGCAGCTGTTCCATTTTTAAATATTTTAAACATAATGTACACTCAATATAAACATGCCTGGGGCCCTTGTTTTATGGTCAAAGCTAGAAATGAAACAAATTTCTACACTTTCACCAATAGAGACAACAAGAAACGCAGACAATGACCACAGGGCACATTGGCCTCTGTCTCCGTGGATCTACACCTGACCCAGAATATCTGCTCCCTAAGGCCTTGCTGGGGAGGGAGGGGAGGGAAGGGACCATAAAAAAAATTAAGATCCTCTCAATGAATGTAATCATTAGGTACTGCAAACTCCTACTAACAAAAATAAGCATCTGAAAAAAGAAATGTGACTTAAGGAGTCAAGGCCTTCTCCTATAAGCTTCTGATAAAACCAGAAGAGCTGTCTTTCCTTGTAAGTTACTCCAAACCTTTTCCACCTCAGCACTGACCCTGAGATCCAAGTACTTTTTTGATTTCCTTTTCCGCCTCACTGCTGAATAGTTCACACCTATCAAAGTGTAGGGCTTTACATGTATTAACTCATTTATACTTCCAATAACCTTGTGACACATTTCTATTTTACAGATGAAGAAACTGAAACACAAAGTCCAACAACTACGATCGGGCAAACCTAGGATTCAAATCTAGAAATTCCTCAATATAATCTTTTTTTGGGGGGGGGGTACCAGAGATCGAACTCCGGTCCTTGAGCTTGCATAGCAGGCAGCGAAACCACTGAGCTAAATCCCCGGACCAAATATAATCTTTATTCTGCAACACTCACCATCATTACGATATACTTTCAAACCCAGAAAACATAAGCAATCTTCAGACAATAAAGCTCTCAGGTGTTAATAAATCTGAAAGCCAACAGTCCACCTGAAACAAACGTGTAGCTTTGGAAATGCTGTTGATTCCACTATTACTATTGACTAACTGGCAACTATGAGATTTAACCCACAAAATGTTATTTGTTGAGACTTTTATAAACCTTTTAACACTGTTGACAGTAATAATTAAACACTGCATCTCCTAAGCAAGAAAAAAATGTGTTCAGACTCTCCTTGTCACTGTTTTCCTTCATGTGTGAAATATCATATATATGTAGTTATGTGCTGTGTAATGACATTTTCATCAGCAAAAGGCCCCATGTGGTCCTGCAGATTAAACAGCCTAGTGACATCGAGCTACCTAAGGTCACTCTAATGTTTACACAAGGAGGAAATCACCTAACACATTTGTCAGAATGCTCCCCATCCCTAAGACATGCACAGTTGTACATGTAAAGAATTCAGCATGGTGAATGCCTAGAGTTGGGAGTCAATGTCACCTACGTCACTACTCGCAGTATGTGAAATCAACAAGCTCAAATAACGTTCAATACCCTAAATGACACCCATGAATTCATGTTTACAAAAAACAAATGTAAACTCTAAAAATGATGCTTTCTGTGAAACCGATGAATTATGAATTCTAAGCCATGGAAATACAAAAATTAATCAGTAAATGAACATCTAACCTTACAGAATTATCATCTAAAAGTCAATTACTACACATAAGAATGCTACTAATAAAACTCATTTTCTCCATCCATGTGACAGAATAATTTGAAAGTTTAAAATGTGTTATACCTTTAAATGGTTGAATACAACCACTTACTGATCTTTTACTGGGTAAAGTGAGGCACTGTCAGTGTATAAAGGCATCGCGGACAGGTGCAGTAACTTTCCTTTAGGCCTTCTAATTTCTGCTCTGTTGTGGATGTGTTCACGCTGTGTTAAAGTGGTTACCAACTAAAACTTGAGGCATATTTAATAGGCTCCAGGTGGAAGACACACACTACTCCAGTCTTGGGTCTCTATATGGTCAGGATTCCTATTAATGACTAGGTGCAGACAAGGAAACTGAGGCAGGAGAGGCTGAGTCCCCCTAGGGGCACAGAGATAAAAAACCAGAAACCAGGCAGCAGACTGCGACCTTCTAGGCCTGTGGACAGGCCTGGTGGCCTCCTGGGGTCTCTGGGGAGGGCACGTGAAGACGCTGGACAGCGTGGGGACAAATACAGTACCAGCGGGCAGCAGGGGCTCCAGCGGGGTAAACTCACGCTCCATGGCGGGTTAGAGACCTCTGCATTAAAAAACGAAAGAGAGGAAAGTTAGAATTCGGAGATCTAATTAAGCGCCACGAGGAAGCCCCGCCCGGGGCGCTGAGTCCCCGCACCCCGGGCCAACCAGACTGAGAGCCCGGTTTTCCTGCGCGCCGTCTCCATCCGGCCACTGGCGCGCCGAGGGAGGCAAGGGCGCCCCACTGCCCCCGCTCCCCCTCCCGCGCAGCGCCGCAGCCGCACTTACTCAGGAAGATGGAGCCCCGAGCGGCGGCGGCGGCCCGGGCTGCTAAAGGGGAGCGCTTGACTGCTCGACGATCCGCTGAAAAGCCTGGGCGCGCGGCCCTCGCTCCAGGATTTAAGGCCCCAGAAGCTCCGCCCGCTCCGGAAGTCGTTAGCGCGGCAGTCTCCCTCCCCACCTGACCCAGCAGCGCCTTTAACTAGCAATTCCTCTTGCACGGGGCTTTGGAGGCTAGCAAACTCCCACTTTTCCACAACCAGGTGGGTCCACATTCTCTGATCTGCAGCTACCCGTAGGCGTCCTTCCTAAAACTCCCCTTCTTCAAAGTCATTGCTTCCTGCCCTTTGTGGAAACCACACCCTGTGCGCTTTGAAAAGAACAAACGACTGTGGAGCTGCTCGAGGACTCCTGAGAAGAGTCACTTTGTTGCTGCGCAGCCTTGTCCAACTCCCAGCAAGCCAGATCCGCACACTAGCCGGCTTTTCCAGGAGGCAGAAGGGCCCTCAGCTGCCACCTCCTTCTGGCCTATGTTGTGGAGGTTCCTCCAGCTTCGGCTGGGCGTTAGCTGAACCTGAGATGTCAAAGTTCCTTGACGAAATTGACCAAAGAAGCCACGAACCTAAATGAGTATGGATTGATACTACAATGAATTTCAAAAATCTACATTTACGGATGCATTTGAGACTAAAAGACTATTTTGGGGTACAGGGAAAATATTAGTATATGTAACATACAGTTGGTTGCTATATCTGCAACGCATAACTAAAGTCCATGTATCAGTAAAAGATAAACTGATGACCCAGAATACAGTATAAATATACAAATAATAGAAGATATTCACATGGCAAATACACATGACTTCCAGATGAATGAGATAAATTTATCTGCCAGATGGCGAACAATATTTTTAAGAAGTCATTCAATAAGAAAAATATACATTTATTGGGCAATTACTATGTTCCAGTAACTGTTGAGAGTTTTTGTGTTTTTGTTTACCTAAAATGTATACTCTAAGAGAACAAGGACCATAATTTGACTGTTTACCCTTGGATCATCACACTGTAACACAGCTGCTGGTTATAAAGAGAAAGCAATCAGTGAGTATTTATTGAATGCTTATACTGAAATAGATGGCAATGACCTAGAATGCTACTTCTGGGATTTTTCTCACAGCTGGCCCATCAAGTATCACCACAAAACTAACCCCACACACATACTTTACCTCACCTAGGATTGATTTCCCACATACCTATGATCACAGTCTCTCATTTTCCTTCTCCTTTGATTTACCACCCCCTATTAGATCACTAGGTCCATAATTGTTGTGGCAAATCTGGGAGTCGAAATGATCTTACAGAGACCAGGAGAGTTAGGTAAAATAAGAAAGAAGTTTATTGCCAGGCAATGGCCAATCCCAGGAAACGAGTCCTTGTAGACTGACCACGAGTTAAGAAAGTTTCTCCTTTATATACCTTTTACAGAGTAAGAAGTTCAAGTAGTGGTCACACAGCTGCGTGGCAAAACAGCAAGGGGCTTTCTATAGCTTCAAGGTTGGGGGCTTACATAAACAATTTCAAGGCTGTTTCCTTATCTCTCCGGGAACAGGCTGCCCCATCTAAGGAAAAGGCCCACCTGGTGTTTTTTAAAACTGGGGCAAGTTGACACAGACGGATTTGCGATAGCTCACACAAAGACAGCATATTTCTGCTATATTGTTATTTTAAACTGACATACAGTTCATAGACAGATATTCTACAGTAATTATTCATTCCAAGTAATGTTTGGCAGCACTTTCCACATCATAAGGTACCAACCATATATGTGTTATTCATTCCTATTTCTCTAGCTAAAAAGTATGCTTTAGCCAGAATACAGATTCAGTAAACATTTGCAACATCGTGTATTGTAGGGAACAGAGAAACGGGACGTTGCTAGAACCTCTGCAGTAAGTCCTACTGTTCTGTGAGCCACGACCGCACAAGGCCAATTAATTTATTAGATAGAAAAAAATGAAACAGAGAAAAAGCTGAGCTTTGGGCCTGATCAATGTTACTCTGGTCAGCAATGATGAAAGCCCCTGAGCTTGCCACACCTTTATTCAGTACATCGGGAGAAGCAAATGTAACAGGTGTCTCAGGGAAGAAAGTCCAGGAGAGGAACAAATGTAAAAAGTGACTCAGGGCAGAGGCTGTGAAAATCCTAGAACAATGAGGAACTGTGGAGATAAAGATTTTGTTCCTCCTAAGATGTTTTTGGCTGATGTAATCTTGCCCTCAAGCATCACAGCATCACTGGACTATTGAAGTTTCAGCTGTGACCGGAGGTCAAACTGGAGTTATATCTCAATTGCCATAGCCCACCTATAGGCAGGAGAACTAGGCCTAATTATAATTGTGAAATGATTTTTCCCTAAAATTAATGGAGAATTGCTCCCGACAGTGTACATCACACATTAATACATGATGAGATAAAATGGAAATTATGATATATCACACTAGCAATTGTTGAAAAGAATATGATAAATCAATATGCTTTCAAGTGGAAAAATTTCAGCACCAAAGTAAAATTTATAAATGCAAATGGAAAAATAATACCATTTATAATTTTTTTAAGAGCTAAAAGATATTTTGTTTTATATTTTTAATTACTTAAATTCTTTTATTGGTACCTTTTAGGTATACAACACATTCACATTTCTCGTTGGGAACTTGTACCTTTACATGATGCATCTTGGTTCTTATTTTTTTCCCCATTCCTAGCCCTCCCTTCACCCCCTCCACCCTTCCCTATTTACAAAGACTTTATTTCCATTTTTTCTATTTCTCATCATTTTTCCTTTCCCTTCTTTCCCCTGCCCCTCCCACTACCCCTACCCCTTTGGACCTTTTCTTCCTATTTTGCATTATCGATTATTCATTCTAATCATTGTACATTTTAGGTATACAGTATAATGACATTCATCATTGGAAATTTGCTCCTTTACATAATCTCTCTTGGTTCTTATTTTTCACCCTTGCCCAGCCCTCCATTTATAATTTTAAATGTATTGGAATATCATTAGGAAATGAGTTGTTAAAAGTGTCCAACTTCTGAGCAAAAGGAATGAAGTAGTATGCAAGATGTTGAAGAAAATAATACTTTTTATCTTATACTTTTGTATCTTGCTGTTAACACATATTTTAGACGTATTTTTGTTTTTAATTGGCACGGTAATTACACATATTTGTGGAGTACAGTACAACTATTCATCTACATAGTGTTTAATGATCAGATCGGGGTAATTAGCATACATATATCATTGTTCCATATTTAGGAAATTAATCCTCTCTACCAGCTATTTTGAAATACTCGATTGTTGTTAACCATAGTTAGCATACTGTGCTATAGAACATTAAAATTTATTCCTCCTATTCAACTGTACCCCTGTACCCTCTTTTCTGCATCCATATTTCCCCCACACCCTTCCCAGGCTTTGATTTCCACTATTTTATTCTCTACATTTAACTTTTTAGCCTCAATATATGTGAGAACATGTGGTATTGGTCTTTCTGTGTGTGAATTACCTCACGTAATATAACCATCCTTCAGTTACATCCATGTTTCTGCAAATAACAAAATTTCATCATTTCTCATAGCTAAAGAATATTCCATTGTGTGTGTAGAACACATTTTCTTTATCCATTCATCCTTCAATGAACACCTGCTTGGTTCCATATCTTGGCTGTTGTTAAAGTGCTGCAGTGAATAAGGGAGTGGAGATCACTCTTTGAGAGTCTAATTTCAATTTCTTTGGATACATACACAGTAGTGCAATTACTAGATCATATAATGTTACTATTTTGTACTTGTTTCTGGAGTCTTCATCCTATTTTCCATAATGACTGTACTAATTTATGTTCCCATTAACAGTGTTTGAGAGTTCCCCTTTCTCTGCCTCCTTGACAGTATTTCACTTTCTTTGTTCTTACTTATATCTCATTGTGGTTTTGATGCACTTCCTTGATGATTAATGATGCTGAGCATTTTTTCTTATACTTGTTGGCTGTTTCTGTATCCTCTCTGAGAAATGCCTACTCGGGTCATGCACTCATTTTTAGTTAGATTATTTGGGGTTTTGTGGGTAAGTTATTTGAATTCCTTGTGTATTCTGGAAATGAATCCTTTTCATGTGAATACTTTTGTGTATTAGTCAGCTTTCCTATTCTGAGACACAACGCTCCAACACCCACAGTTAAAAAAAAAGAGAAGTTTAATTTGCCTCACAGTTTCACAGGATTCTGTTCATGGTTGGCTCCTTCCAAGGCAGAAACATCATGATGGAAGAGATAAATAGCACTTGATTTTAGTGTACAATTTATTTTCATGTGATCATGGATTCAATTTGATAGTGTTTTGCTCTAATTTTTCAACCTATTTTCAAAAGGAATATCAGTCTATGATTTCTGTTGTTGTTGTTGTTATATCTTCATCTGGTTCAGGTATCAGGGTAATGTTGACCTGTAGAATGAGTTTGCAATGGTTTCCTCCCTTTCAATACTTTCGGTTTCTTTGAGAAGAATTTACATTACTTTCTGAGAGTTAGGTAAAATTCAGAAGTGAAACCATCCAGTACTAGACTTCTTTGGTGGGAGACTCTTACTTATTGAATGTAGTTACTTGTTATTGGTCAGTTCAGGTTTTATATATGTTCATGTTTCAATTTTGGTAGGTTATATGTGTCCAGAAATATATCCATTTCTTCTAAGTTTTCCAATTTATTGGCATATATTTTCTCATAAAAGGCCCTTATGATCCTTTTCATGTCTATGAGCTCAATTGTAACATCTCCCTTTGCAACTCTGATTTTATTTAGGTCTCCCCCCGCCCTTTTTATGTTAGTTTAGCTACAAATTTGTCAATTTTATCTTTTAAAAAAACAACTTTTTTGATACTTGTAATTTTTGTCTCATTTATTTCTGTTCTGCTATTTTCTCTTCCTTTCCTTCTACTAATTTTGGATGTGGTTTGTTCTCACTTCTCTGGTTTCTTCAGTTGCATCATTTGGTTGTTTATTTGATGTAGGGAATGGGGAAGTGGACATTACCAGGACCTCTGCCGTGGGTCCAGGCCTATGAGACACCACAGGACAAGGCAAATTCAAGGACAGACAGAAATGAGACTTAGAGTGGAGAAGCTGAGTCTTGGGTCCTGGTCAGTGCTGCTGATGGGGGCAAAGACAAGGCCCCCCAAGCACATCCAGTATTTATTGAATACAGTCTTGAGAAGGAATAGGGAGCGAGGTGTGCTTTGAAGGCATCTAGTGAAATACTGCCAAACACCTGGCATGATGGCGCCAGGCAGGGCTGTTAGGGAGTCGGCACTGCTTATCTTGCTTGGACAGAACAAACCGGTACTGGGACTGGGTGCATTTAGCACACGACCCATCAGTTCACTGAGAAGCCATAATTCAGGGTAAAGGGTTTCAGTTGTGGTCACGCTGACCTCAGCTGTGTGTAATTCAGCAGAGCCCTGCCCCTTCACAGACCAGGGCCTAGGTTTCTGTGGCAGCCATTGAGGGAGGGCCTATACTTGCCCAGTCCACCATCTGACGTGCCCATTTGAGTCACATAGAGCTTTGGTCTGACTCCTAATATAAAACAATATAGTTGAATTATGGAAGGCAAGAAGCATGTGCCACTCACAGCCTGCTAGTACTGGGCAGGGATGTCTCCTACAATTTGAAATCTTTTTTTGGTGGTGGAGGGGGGGAATACTGGGGATTGAACTAAAGGCCTTCACACTAAGCCATGTTTCCAGCCTCATTTTTAAATTAATTTTTACCTTGAGACAGGGTCTCACTAAGTCTCTAGGAGGCCCAAGCTGCACTCAGTCTTGCAGTTGTCCTGCCACAGAGTCCCAGATGATTACAGGCATGCCCCAGTTGTTGGTAGTATTTTGAATATATTGTTAGTGGTGTGCCTGGCTGCAGGTATGGACCATTCTCTGGTTTCTGTGGGTCATGTGAATGTGGAGACACAGCCTTTAACCCAAGTGTGTGCAGCACTGTGTTTGATAGCATGAGGTGACCATCAGTGTCCAGAAGCTGCATGGATTACACTAAGAGGCCAGGAGGGGGCTTCGGGATTTGAGCAGCTCAGAGAAGTATGCCTCAGGTGCATCCTTGTTGGGTAGGAATGACTAAGTGTCTATTCCTCACAGCCTCAGTGGGTTCAGCTTCAAAAATTGGGCTATCCAACTACTTCTGGGGCCACAGGAGAATGATTAATGATTAACGACTGGCTACTTCCAAGGCTCACGGTGGGTGAGTATGACCATTTCTCTGACTCCTGGAGTCTCCATGGGCTGACAGAACATGAGCAGAGACACCTGGCCGCTTCAGTGAGCCAAAGGTGGGTGGGTGGGTAGGGTACCCTAGGTATTTTGGGGACAGTACAAAGTCTGAGCAGGGCCTTTGTCTGGTTCATAGGTGTCTGCAGATGAGGGGCAGCTCATCCTCATAAGATCCCAAGTGGAAAAGATCTTAAGATGGCTTTGTGCAGCAAGATCTTGGGAGTCCACAAAGTGGACTGGATTCTTTCTCCAGGGCAATGTAAAGGGGTGGTAACTTACCAGCTCTCCAAATTGGCTCAAGGATACCAAGGGGCACAGGGTTCTTTAACAATAAATGCCTTAATTATCTTTTGCATGAGCAGGGACTAGCAAGAACTTCTTCTCTTTTCCTCACTATCAGTGTCCCTCTTGGTTCAGGGTTGATATTAAAAGGTAGCATGAGAGTCCTGTAGATTTAATTCTCTTGTTTGGAAGGCCATCATGTATCTCCAGGCTCTGCTGTGTCTCTATGACATTCGCATTACATTCTGATGTGCTGCCTCAAACACTGCAGTGAAATAGCTGGTTTTCCCCTTGTTTGGGCCTGTGGTAGAGGATAGTGTGCCAAGCACCTCTAGTCAGCATCTTATTAATGTCACCCTCTCCCCGTATCAACACATTTTTAGAATAAGCATATTAAGAAATTTAGAGTTTTAGAAAAATGTACACTAAAAGAAAATTAATGAATCATTATTAGTAACTCTTGGTACATTTGAGCTTCCAAGGAAAGGGATATACATACATGGTATTCATGAAACAATTATATAACTTCAACCAAATTTTGAATGGATTCTATGGCTTTCAAAAGATAAATAGTACAGGCAAATAGGCTTGCAGTATGACTGCACATGATAATAGGGATTATCAATTTGTAAATGGGGGGAAAGAGAAAAGAAGAGAAAGAGACTAAAAATAATAATATTTGGCAATAAGAAGTGTGTTGCTGAGACAAAATACCCAAACTCAAAGAAGAGCGGGTTTATTTATCTTACAGTCTGTAGAGGTTTCATTTCATAATTAGGTGGGTCCAAGGCAGGCATGACAGAGGGGCACTGCAGAGCAGGCAGACAGAAGGCAGCAAGCAGAAAACCAGCGAGAAATAGGTGATAAGCCCCTTTCTGTCCATTATATCTTATCCAGGCTACCCACCCTTAGGGTGAGTGGCACTCACATCCTTAATCCCAGCACACACCCTAGATCCAGCCACTTCCCAAAAGCCCCATCTATGACGGCATGAGGCTTTCGGGGACATCCAGACACAGCCATAACAACTTGTTTTGAAAAAGGTCAATAAGAAGAAATTTTTTCTACTTGGTATAGAAAATATGTACCAAACAGTAATTAAAATTAGGTAGTACTGACATAGAAGTACATACCTGGATAGAGCAAAATATAGTTCAGAAATAAACTAAATACATGGAAATTTAGTTTATAATATATTTGACATTTTGTATTAGTGTAAAATATGTAATGCTATATTTAATAAATATTTTTGATACAACTGTATGTACATGGAAATAAATAAAAATCAATTCATATCTCATACTCTACAAAGGTAAGTTTTTAATTCATTTACAGCAAAATATAAAAGTCAAATCCATTCTTCAATAAGAATTTTAAAAAATAATTTTTGTGTGGTAATGGTCCACAACAGCAATTCAAAACTCAGAAGTAAACTTAGATTTGACTAAAAATTTTTAAACTTCTACAGAGTAAAATTAATATATAGGGACAAAAGACATATAGGGAAGAAATAAGTGCAACATAAATATGAAATAAAACCTATTATCCAGAAAATGAAAAGAGCTTCCATAAATCAATAAGGAAAAGAACCAACCAGCAGTTCATGGAGGGAAACAAATGCCATAAATATGTTAAAGATGCTCAACTCCCTAATAATTTCAGAATTATGAACCAAAACAATAAAATATTTTAACTACCTTATCACTTAGCGAATGTGTTATCTATTTTATTCATAATCTCAAAGTATTTAAGCTTTCCTGTTGCTGGAACAAATACCTGACACCAACAACTTAAAGGGAGAGAGGTTTATTTGGCTCATGGTTTCAGAGGATTCAGTCTATGACTGGCTATTCTAAGGCACAACTGTCATGGTGGCAGGGTGTGGGGAAACGAAGCTGCTTAATTCATGGCCCCTGGGAAACAGAGCACAGGAGAACAGGGCAAGAAAAGAAGGCACCAGGGACAAAATATAGACCTAAGGTCACACCTTTATGTCCATCTTCAACATACCCAGAAGTGTGCTTTGTTAATCCCTAGGTGATGGATCTGAAGTGAGTCAAGTTGACAATTAAGCTTAATCATTACATTCCACCCCTTGTCAATTTAACACCCAAACACAACTCCATGAGCCATATTTAATCTTTGAATATTAACAATAACATCCAGAAGTGTGCTTTATTAATCCCTTAGGTGCCTCCCAAGCCAATCAAGCTGATAATTAAGCTTAACCAACACAGAAAGAATTTTTAAATTTCATCAAATCTTTCTATTGTTTTTCTTTACCTATCTTATAAAATTACATTTTAGTTTTCTTCATTTCTTTCTACTTATTTTGGACTTAAATTGCTTTTCATTTCTAAATTAAGTTGGAAGGTAAGTATATTGGTTTTAGATCTTATCAAATATAAACTTTTAAATCTGTATACTTCCCTTTAAGAGTCCTTTTACTGTTTTACTTATAATTTTATTCAAAATATTTCTCAACATTTTTTATAGTATTTTCTCGATCTGTGCACATATAGAAATGAGATCTTTTATGGCCAAATAATTTTCAAGATATATTTTTGCTATTGATTTTCAGCTTAATCCTACTGTTTTCCTGGAATATACATTGCTAATTTATACAGATTCATTTTATGTCCTGGCATATAATCTATCTTAGTGATTTTCCTTAATTCCTGAAAAAATATTAGGTGGTAGATGAATATAGTGTTCAGTACATGTGAATTATGTAAAGTTATATTGTAGCACTGAGTTATCTATATTATTACAGATTTTCTGTTTAACTGTTACACCAGTTACTCAGAGAGTAGTGTTTAACTGTCCAACTACAATTGTTTACTTTTCTATTTCTTCTTTTAGTTTTATCAGCTTGACTTTATGTGTTTTAAAACTGTTTTTAGGTATATTCACATTTAAGTTTGCTAAGATTATTGATAAATTGATCATCTTATCATTATAAAATATCCTTTTAGAAATATGTTAATATTCTGTTTCGTGAAGTACGCATTGTCGAATGCTACTATAACCACTCCATCTGTTTTATGATATTTGTTTGGAATATAATTTCTCATCTACTTACTTTTAACCTACGTTTGTCTTTGTATTTTGTTGCATTTCTTGTAGATAGCATGTAACTGTGTCTTGCTGTTTTAAAATTTAATCTGACATTAAATATCATTGGATTTATTTCTACTATTTAGTCATTTCTTTTATGTTTGTCTTATTTTGATCTTTGTGCTTTTTTTCTAATTATTTTGGATTGAGTATTTTTTAGTATTCTACTTTTTCTATTCTATTGATTCATATTGTTACTTTTTAAGTTTTTATTCCAGTGTTTACAATATGCACCATTAATTCATCACAGTCTACTTTCTAATGTTATATCACTTCACATATACCACAGGAATATTTTAAAAGTATACTTCCATTTCTTTCTCCATCTGTATCCCCTCTCTTAATATGGACACATTACTTTGTTATTATTTAAAGAAATTTCTAAGGCCAAAAAATCTTCTATATTTAAAATCCAAACAAACAATCTACCATCTTATATATATTTGCACTATTTCTGAGGCCCTTTATTCCTTTGGGTAGGCACCAATTTCTAGCTGGAAATTCTTTCAGCCTGAAGGACTTCCATTAACATGCTTAGTTTCAGTTTACTGAGCTTTTCACATCTGTGGGTTCAAATTCTGAATTGTAGCAATGATGTATTTAAATGTTTTTTTCTTACTCTATTATCTCTTCTGCTGTTCCAAATACATATACGTTAGACTGTGTGATGTTGCCTTAGTTCATTAGCCCATTCATGTTTTAGTCTTCATTTCGTGCATCGGTTTGCATAATTTCTCTTTCTGTGTGTTAAAGTTCAATGAATTTTTCTCTTGCAAATTCTAGTCTTCTGATATATAATTTCTGTGAATTGTTTATTTCAGGCATTGCATTTTCTAATGCTATGATTTCCACTTATTATTTTTTAAATGCCTCATTTTTTTTCTTTAAATTCTTGAGCATAATTATAATACTTGCTTTAGGGTCTTTATCTGATAATTCCACAGTCCCTGGCATTTCAGGATCTGTTTATTGCCCTCCACCCTTTGGTATGGATCAAATAGTTCTGTGTTTTTGAATTTCTAGAAATTTTTTTCTAGATGCTGAACATTGCTCTTTTTATGTTGCTAAGGTATAAATTTTGTTTTCTTCCTTTAAAGAGTTTGAAGTTTGTTTCAGTAGATAATTAAGTTACTTGAGGGTCAGCTTTATCTTTTAAAAATTTGTCTTCAGTTTTTGTTTGAAGGGTGTGCTGTAGCCTTTAATCTAGAACTATTTAGCCCTAATACTAAATAACTTTTCTTGTGTGTATATTGAATGCCCTGTGAGATTAACAGTCTCTCCCCTTTCTGACTGTTAGGAATTCCAGTATCTCCTAACCTGTGTATTTGTAGATTTTTTTTTTAAACTCTAGGAACTGTTGAGCTTTCCTGTTGTTTTACTTTACCTGCCCTGTTTAGAGTTCTGCTTAGCATGTGCCTAAAATTGAATTCAGTCAAAGAACCCCAGTTATATTTCTGGAGCTCTTTTTTTGGTATGATTCCCTGCCTTACAAATCCTGTCCATTTTGATCTCTCTGATTTGTTAATTTTTCTCATCTCAGTGAAGTCATTGGCTTTACTCAGTTTTTCCCTCCTTTGTTTTAGTGGGGAAATTACCTCTAGAACTCTGATACAATTTTAGAACTCATTTAATTTGTGTTTCGCTTTTCATGAACCATAGTTCTTTTCTGTGTCTTGTTCCCCACATTTTATCCTTTTCTAATTGGTTATGCAGAATGATGGGTCTCATATCAGACACTTGTAAATGAGAGGAAGTAAAATTCTTCCAGTAATTTTAAGAGTAAAATATAAATACTAAGATGTTATTGGAGACTCTTGGTGTACAGTCAGGAGCTTTTGACTGTTGAACAAGATGATAGAATGGGTAATTGATTTCGTTACCCTCCTTTATAAAAATCATTATCTGTGGAACCTCTCTTTTGGTTATCTCATTTTGAAACTCCTCTATTCCTGAGTTCCTGTCATTTTTCAGTTAACCGTCTCCAGAGGATAAATTTTTTATTCTCTGTTAGGTGATCCAATAATTCTCTTTTTTCTACTCCACAGTATTATGAAGATAGTTCCTCTTCATTTTGATGTTTTCAGGATCA